TGCCCTCATGGACTATTTATCACCTCAAGGAAATTCTGCCTCTGAACAATAAATCTTGCGTGCAAGACTTTGTTCTGACATGGCCCGCTTACAGGCCCCTGTCTGTTCTTGGCAGAACGTCCTCTTTTAGTTAACTTCTCTTTTTACTTGACCGGCTACAGACGCTGTGCTTGGGCTCAAGGGCACAGAGGGACGGGTGCTTCATATTGTGGGTTTTGTTTTGTTGATTTTGTTCTGCATCCAACCCCTGGGGAGGAGATCTGGGTTACAGTCAGACCCACAGAACCAGTGTCCCTAGGTGGTCAGCCAAGTGTCGACTCTCTCCTTGATTCCTTGCTGTCTAGATTTGGGATTATGGCGTGGCCGAGTGCCTGGGGTCCAGCGGAGTCAGGCAGGGTCTCATCATTCAGGCACAGGTGTTTGGCCCTGCTGTGCACCCCCACTGACTGACCAGGACCAGTACCTGCCACACCCACAGTCACCCAGCAAAACGGCCAATGGCCCCATCCACTGCCTACTGTGCTCAGAGGGAGAAGAGGGCAGCGACTGGGGTGCTGAGCATCGGGGAGGTGAGGGTTCTGCGTGGGAGTGACTGTGCCCTGCTGAGGACCTGAGGAGGACGGCTGCTGGAGGGAGCAGGACCTCACCACCCCAATGTGTCTTTGCCCTGAGGATTATTTTAGGCTGATTACCTTTCAAAAACAAAAGACCCAGGATGGGCCTTTTACCTCCCCCTGAACAGCCTAAAAGAATTTAGACTGAGGGCCTGGTCCAGGCCAAGCAGGTGCAGTGTGGCATTTACAGGTTGGGTCAGGTTTGGGGAAGGGGGTGGAGCCAGCAGGGCCTGCACCACATCCTGTTGGGCTCCTACCTTCTCTGCAGACCCAGCAAACATCTGTGCCAGCAGTTGCTCATTCATCTTCCTGTGAATTGTTCTTCATGTGCCTGACCGGGAATCAAACTGGTTCACAGGTCAACGCTCAACCCCTGAGCCACACCGGTTGGGCAGGATTTGGTTTTATTTTGTTGAATCGCTGAAGCCCCAGAGACCCCTTCCCTCCCAAGGTCCCCACCCACCCAAGTAGATGTTCTAGTGAGCAGGGGTGAGGAGCCTGGTGGGCGGGAGGTCCCACCTGGACCCCAGGCACTCGGCCACGCCATAATCCCAAATCTAGACAGCAAGGAATCAAGGAGGGAGTGGACACTTGGCTGACCACCTAGGGTCACTGGTTCTGTGACCCTCAAGCGCCCTTGGGTCTGTCACCCAGATCTCCTCCCCAGGGGTTGGATGCAGAAGAAAATCAACAAAACAAAACCCACAACATGAAGCGCCCTCCCCTCTGTGCCCTTGAGCCCAAGCACAGCGTCTGTAGCCAGTCAAGTGAAAAGAGAAGTTAACTAAAAGAGGACGTTCTGCCAAGAACAGACAGGGGCCTGTAAGCGGGCCATGTCAGAACAAAGTCTTGCACGCAAGATTTATTGTTCAGAGGCAGAATTTCCTTGAGGTGATAAATAGTCCATGAGGGCACGGAAAGTACTAGGGAGGGTACACAGCTGCAGGTTGAAGGGACCTTTGAACAATATAGGAAATTAATAGTTTAATGTATAACTTAGCTCAGATGATCTCATAGGCATGCCTGTTTGTCAGTGTTACTTGCTGTACTCCCCAATAAAAGCCATGAGAACTTTGGAGGATTTGCTACTTGCCTGAGCGAGCAGTAGCCCTCTGTCTCTGAAACTCATCCTGCTTGCCGAGCTCATCTCAGCTTCACTATTCACCTGCAGACCATCTGCAGCGTCCAAAACCTGTGCACTTGGTACAAATGCATGGGAAATGGAGCGATGGAAGGGCCGCCCCTGCCCCCAGCTCAGGTGCATTCTTAGAGGTCACCCCAGGTGAGAGCAGGGAGGCCTGGGACTGCCGGCACCTGTTTTCTCTGTGCTCATGCACACACACTCACATGCACACGCAGCAGCACGTGTTTACAAAACACACATGGGCCCAGTGGACCTTCTTTGAATCATGCAGCAGTTATTTATGGAACACCTACTGTGTGCAGGCACTGCCAGGGACCTGGGGTAAAGCAGCGAACAAGAGAGCAAAAGTCTCCCCTGAAGCTGCAGGACAGACACACAAAGGAAGTGGGATTGGGGGGCAGGCTGCAGCTTTCACTGGGGGCTGGGGCAGGGGGGAGGGGCTTGGGGAAGAGACAACTGAGCAAAGGCTGTAGGAGGGGAGGGGCAGCTGTGCTGCCTTGAGGACAGGTGTGTTCCAAGCATAGGAACAGCCAGTGTCCCTGGGATCAGAGCAGGCCAGTGTGTCCCAGGAAAGACAGGGAGGCCATTGGACTGGGGGGAGGGGCTGCAGGAGAGGAGGTCAGAGGGCACTGAAGGGGCATTGGGGCAAGACTTGTGGCTTTTCCTCTAAGAGGATGGCGGGGAACGGGGGAGGGAAACACCTCCCTGGCAGGCTCATCCCAAGCAGCCAGCAGGTCTCCTGGGAACAGATGTGGGTAATGTGGAAGGGAAGGAGGGAAGTCAGTGCTGGGGGTTGGGCTCGAGGTGCTGGAGGGATGAGTTGCCTGGCTCAGGGCAGGTGGGAAGCCTGAGATGTGGGCTTCAGAAACGGACTGGGAGAGGCTTGTCAGATACTCTGGTGGGGAGGCCACCAGCTGCTGTTTAGGTGACAGGTCCAGGACAAAAGGGCTGACCTGGTGCTGCCAGTGAATGGGAACCCACAGGGCAGGGTGGGGTCACCACAGGGCAGAACAACAGCCCAGGGAGCAGGAGGCATCAGCTGAGGTCAGATGCCGGATGCTGGGCCAGTCAGCAAGTGAGTGCCACTTGCCTAGGTTATGACACACTCAGGCACAGCTGGCCACCTTTGCAGGGAACTCCTCACTCACCCCTGTGCCTGTGGTTCCACTTCCATGCAGCATCCTCTGAAACACCCCCACCGCTGAGCTTAGCCACAGTTCTCATTCCCAAGGGGGAAGGGGAACCTCAAATTCTCTCCAAGAAACGAAATAGAAATTTCTAAAAAAGTGACAGGTGCCTCCAGCAAAAGCCCGACAAAGCTATTCTCAGGGAAGTGCTTCCAGATGTTACAGAGCCTGATCAGTAATAACCACCCCTGGTCTCTGGGGACATTCTGCTAAGCAGCTTCCACAAGAACCACCTGGCATGTGTTATTTTCCTGCGTTGTAGGTGGAAAAGTGAGGGCCCAGACCCGGGACCCACTCCAGAGCCCACTGCTATAGCTCACGCCTATGCAGGTGTGATTCCAAATCGTGTGCTGAGTTTTCATCCTCTTCACACCCTTCTCTGCTGCTGTACAGGCCCCAGTCTGCCTCCTAAACTCTTGTCCTCAAAGAGCAGAAACCGAAAGACCCCCTTCTTACTGATGTTCACAGAAGTCACTCTTTGGGCGGCTCCCACAGACAGGAGGGGGCAGCCACGGAGCCAGGCCTTGGCTCTCTACAAACATCCAACATCTGAGAGGGCCACACAGCCCTGTCCTGTGTCCTTGATGCTCGTGTCAGGGAGCTGTCACACTATGTATAAGCCGAGGGGAAACCAGGTCCCTGCACATTCAGCACCCAGTGAAATGCAAACAGGAAACTCCCGTCCAGGCTTTACAAGCCAGAGAGCCCAGGGCTGCCAGGAGTCTGAGCTGGGACCCCACCTGAACCCCAAGGGTCCCTGGCAAATAACTTACGATTCTTAGTACAAAGTGGAGAAGACTGAAGTCCCCAGTCAGGCCCAAGGTCTCTTTGACCTCCAAGATGACCTTGGCTGCCTTGGCAGACAGATGCAGGTGGTGGTATTCCCTGACCTGCCCCATTCGCTCCTGGATCCAATCCCTTGGGTCCCTGGGGTCCAGGGCACACATGACTCTGAGGTCAAAGGTGAGGTCGTCATATTTATTCACAAAGACGCCGAAGATGGTGTGCACTTCCCCTAAGGTGAGCTCGCCCGACTTCAGGTCCTCATACAGTTTCCTGAACTTGTTGAAGCAAGGAAGGTACAGGTCATCATACACATCTTCAATGTCCACAAGCGGCCCTCCCCGTACCTTCTCCTCCTCTGGCGGAAGGAGCGCCCGGGCGGCCTCTGCCCAGAAGGTCCGGAAGATGTGACTGTCCTTGAGCAAGTCTATTGTTGTGGCCATTTCTCGAACGTGGGCGCTCAGGTTGTAGTGCGTTACCCACTCCATGTCTAAGGAGGTGGGGGATGGACTCGCCATCACAACATCATTTAGGCATTTCCTGCCCAGGTCTTCTGCGTGTTTCTTGGCAATCTTTCTGCAGTCCACTGTGAAACCATAAGAGGACATCACCCGTGAGCCCACCAGTCCAACGGGACTCTCCCCTCCCCCTTGCTGCTCCTGAGGAAACTCGAGGGATCGCACTCACTGGCATTTTTTCTCTCAATACGAGTCCAGACACCCGCTCCCCACCCCCGCCTTCAATTTTCACAACAAAGCCTTATAAGT